ATTATTATTATCATTATTATTATTATTATTATTATTATTATTATTATTATTATTATTATTACTATTATTATTATTATCATTATTACTACTATCATTATTACTACTATCATTATTATTATTATTACTGTTACTATTATTATCATTATCATTATCATTATCATTATCATTATCACTATCACTCTGACTATTACTATTACTATGACTATTACTATTATGATTATGATTATCATTATTATCATTATCATTATCATTATTATTATCATTAGTATGAATTATAACAGTTATTATTATTATTTTCATTATCATTAATAAAAGTTGTATATCAAGTCGCCAAAAAAAACCGATAACTAATGTATGGGTTTGGTATTTTGTGATCCAATTTGTAAAAAGAACAAAGCAAAACATAATTTGGGAACTAATGATCCGAAAGTTTTAAACTTGAGAGGGTACAAGCCATTTTGTTCATCATATGGGCTAATATGGATGGAAATTTCGGTAAGGATAAAAGTCATTTTCCCAAAAATTTAAATATCTTCATAAGTCACTTTCTATCCATATCTTTTCCAAAAACCGTGAAATCTATAATAAGCTTTTCTTTATACTCGCGATGTGTATCTCTCTCTTTCGTGATTTGTCTATAGCTAACTAATTTCTATATAAATTTCTAAACATCCGAGGAAAAAATTTGTATAAGGTTGCAACCTTATACTGTTGAAAAAAGGTGCATCTCAGAAATCCTACAGTGGAGAGTGTTTCTACGTAAGAGAGCCCTCCATTGATCATCTCGACCTTGAGATGAATGGACATGAAGAAAAAAAAGAATTTTCGGTTCAAAAAATAGTATATATTGTAAAAAGTCATATGGACCGTCTATTTTCAAGATGTTCAAATGTTTATTGATCAGCTCGATCTATATTATTTTTAAAATTTTAAATTTTTTAATAAAAAATAAAAAAATATTTTGAAACCATCATAAAAATTTTTATGCCGAAATGACATCTCTAAGTAAATCTTATAAGTGCACCTGATTTTTAGAGGCAACCTTATGCAACCTCACCCAAATCAGAATGGCCATCACGCTTCCCAAAAATAATAGAATCATAGTATCTTCCGTCTTTATGACCACGTACACCTCTATCCACTTCCTATGTTGAAACATTCTTAAAATTTGAGATTTTTAAATAGATTTCTCTACCCTAATAGCAAGTACCGTAGCTTACTTACTATACGACTCACTGCCTATCTTCTTTGTCACTGGAGGATCCCTATCGATTATCGTCAATTGTGTCCATCTCTTAATTGTAGTTGAATGATTTAGTATTCTTTGTCACTGGAGGATCCCTGTCGATTATCGTCAATTGTGTCCATCGCTTAATTGTGGTTGAATGATTTAGTATGGACCCAGTTTCTAAGCGGCCAAGCCTTTAAAAACACGAACGTATTAATAAATCTATTTTTAAGATGGATTTTTTTACTCAAATTTTAAGGACACGTTAGAGATCATGAATATGATAAAATAAGTACATTTTAAAAATTAAAAATAATAATTTTATTTAAAAAAATATTTAGACGGTTAGTTTTCATTGTTTTTTAAATAGAACAACTACTTGCAGTCATCTTTATAATAGATGCTTTACACGTTTTGGACCGCATAAATAGTTATGCTGTCCAGCCCACACGAAATAATTTTTCATGTAATATAGAATCTAAAAATGGCAATAGTGTATCTTATAAAAAAAATTCTAGATATTCTAGTATGAGGGTGCTACACTCTTTCCTGGATATTCAATATTCTTTACAGATAAAGTGCACGGGCCCTTAATTAGTGAACATTCTAGCAGCACGTGTCATGGTCTCCGTGAACAACAGGCAAGTGTCCTGAACCTCACATGCTTAAGACGTGCAAGGTAAGGACGCTGCTTTTTCTTGGTACACAACCCACGTGATGGACATGCTTACAACTGACGCGAACATGCCACGCCGATTTCCATGGATCCATCACATTCCAAAAACCAAATAAATTCACCAATTCCAAATTTCAATAACCTTGAAAATTCAAATCCAAAGCGAATTTGAATAAACCCAAACCAGATAAAGCAACCAAAACGCTACTCAGGATGAACCAAAAGAACACAAGGAAAATTTATGTACGGACTTTTTATACCATTACAATGAAATTGTACAAAAATGGCCCATTATTACTTAAAAGATAGAATTTTTTTTTTATTTTTTATTTTTATTTTTTACCATGTCCGATTGGTTTTATTTTTTATCAGGTCCGACTTATATCCGACCTCTAACCGCTTGATAACCTTGATATTTTTTATTTTTTATCAAATTTACCCTCTTTCAAATTTACTCTCAATCCGATGCTTTAAACACCATACCACATTCCATTTTATATGTTAAACAATTAGTTTGATGTTAGAACCATTGAACCGCCTTCTGTTGACATTTTTTTATGAAAATTTTATTTTATGAAAATCAAACGGTATGATGATTCTAATATCGGACTGCATTCTGTTAAATTTTATAAGTAAACAAAATAATCCGATGTTAAAACCATCGGATCGTATTCTATTGTAATTTTTTATAAAAATCAAGCATTCCCATGATTCTAACGTGGCATTATATTGAATTTTGTAAGGTAAACATGCGATCGTATGGTTCTAATATCGATCCGCATTTAAATTTTGAAAGTTAACCAACTGCATTATGTTGAATTTAAAAGTTAACTAATTGCATTATGTTGAAATTTTTTTATAAAAATCAAGCTGTCAAATAGTTCTAAAATCGACAGCATTCTATTGAAATTTGTAAGTTAAGCAAGCGATCCTACATTGGAACCATCTGTCTTCTGTTCAATTTTTTAAGTAAACTAAAGATTCGACAAAAATTCGAGAGTCAAACTTGAGAAAAATAAACAGTATCGGGTTTACCAAGCAGTATGAAAAATCGAACAGGAGACGAGCTTGTCAAAAAATTTAAAGATTTGTCTTGTTTTCATATTATAACAAGCTATTTTCGAATCATTCTGACAAAACAGTTTGAAAACCCAAAACCCATTCCGTAGGTAAATTTCCCAAAAAAACAACAAGCCTTGGGTCTTCATATATTCTTATATAAAAAAGAGAACATCGAAATTACAACTTTATCTCCATTTCTAAGATTTACAGCCCCCTCCACAACCCGACCTCGGCCAAGCAACCATGAGAAGGGACGAGGGCACCGAACATATCGTCCCGTTCGATCGAGATATCAATGACATAACAGTATACCGCCGCGGGAGCACAATTTCTCTATAGTAAAAGTAAAGGGGGCGGGGGGTGGTGTCCTATTTGATTTAGCCGTGCATCAGGGCGGTGGCCGCCTCCTGGACGAGCGGTTGCGTGGCGTGAACGAAGGATTCGGTGTCGCCGTGCAGCTGCTCCCAGGAGCGTGCTGCCTCCTTCCCCTGCCCCATCTTCCTCACAAACGCCACAAACAGCCTCCAATTCTCGTGCCGGAAAAGATCGGGACTCATCCTGAGGTACGTGAACGCACACATGGCCTCCTCTGAACCTTCTAAGGAGGACGCGTTCAGTATCTGATTGAGCGCACCCTCGTCGTAGCGGGGCAACGCATTCTCGCCCGCCAAAGGCACCTTGGCCTCACGTGTCGCCAGCACCACTTGGTGCACCAATCGTTCGGGTGAGCATTGGGCATCCTGCATTAAAGATTATCAAATTCGCATCAAATTCAAATTCTCGAACAGATGGCCGACATATTATATGCAGTACAGATTGTAACATAGAGCAAGTGTCGGACAATTCATCAGAAAGCTCACCTGCGGTTGTTCATAGTCCTTCATCTCTATGCAGGTGAAATTGAAGACGACCCCATGCCTCGCAAACAACCGGGCAATAGGCAAATACCCATCCCTAAATCGAGTGTTGTAGTAGCCGGCCGTGAGCTCGGGTGCATGAGAACGAGTCCCATAGTGCCAGTGAATGCCCGCCACTTTGCCCGAGAGCTTAGCCCCACTGCCGTCGAAAATGGTCTCAGCAGCTGTGAGAATCAGCTCGCCATGGTCCAACAGCATTTGTGAGTACCAGCTCAGAAAGAATTCACCGTAAGGACTGCTCCAACCCCCATCTCTCTTGAAGAAGGGGGCATCCTCAGGCCAGTTGTTGTAGTGGCCTGCATCGCTCGGCCCGCCATGGCCCCACTCGCTCTTTCCAGCCTCCTCCGCCGCTGCCTTGAGGCTGCTCAGCATGTACTGTTGAAGATACATAAACTCAAGCATTAGATTACAGAGCTTTATTCAGTTCAGTTCCAAAAGACAATGAGAAGAACTATGATGGCCTGCCTCTCCAGTTAAGCAATGCGCACCTTATCATAGCACTGAAAGGCTCCAATTCCGGGGAATTTCCATGTGCCATTAAGCTCTGGATATGACGGGTACCGGAGTTCTCCGGCTGGACCCATCCCCACTTGAATTTCCTGAGCAAAATTGCAGATTACATTCAGTAATGGAAAAGGAGATCCAATATCCAATGAAGATTATGAGAGGGGCAATATACCACAATCGTTTCTCCCAGAAGGTCCTTGAAGTTGTCCCTAAAGGCTCTCATGAAATCAGAGTAGCACTGGGCAGGGCTCCGGCCCTTGAGAACTGGAAGCTCATCGCAACCCAGTGACACACACTCGTAGTTCCTCCTCCTCCATTGGTCTGTGTAAGCAAGATCAGGATCCTTTTCTGTCTCTTCCAAAACCCATTTTGGCAGAGGAATCCTACAAAATCAACAACCCCAAATCCTTCAGTCACCAAAGCCCAATCCCAATGGCAAAAAATTGAAAAGCTCAACAGATCCAAGGAAAAGCCCCAGTTCCATGAGTGAAATCAAATTCATGAAAAGAAACAAAGCACAAAAGCAAGCATTACACAAATGAAAAATGCTAAAAAGAAAAACAAGAGACAAATCCTCCCCAAAAAAATTAAAACAAAACAGAAAGCCGGGGACCCATTTTAAAGGCTTAAACAAAAACCAACAAAAAGCGTATGGTCCTGCATAACAGAATAAAAAATCCTAAGATCCAGAACGCCATAAAGAATATCACATAGAAGAGAAGAGAGAAAAGAGAGAAGAAGACAAAGGAATGAGAAGAAGAGAGACGAAATTAAGCACTTACGTGCACGAATCACCAACATTGCCACCACACTGGTGAAACGACATGACCGCCTGCACCTTAAGCCCATGTTTCCTCGCCATTTCGAAAAGCTCAGTATAACCCCCCCAATTGTAGTTTCCAGGTTCGTCTCTCTCTACCAGTCCCCACCACACATCCAACATAATCCCCTCGACCCCTGCGCTCTTCAACGCCTGCAAACTCGCATTCATCGCCCTCTTCCTGTTCATCCCATGGTTTTGGGTCACGCTGTCCAAAGGCAACATCACAAAAACAGGAATCCCTCCCTTTCCATTCTCTTTGGATTTCAATGACCCATGTTCTCTCTCTTGCTTTCCAACCTCTTGTTCAGCAATTGCAGTCTCAAAAGCTTGGCAAGCCACCGATAAATCAGGGCGCCCCACCTGACGCTTCCACCACTCTTCGGGAGGGGGAGAGGAGCAACAGGGGCTGAGGGGAGGGGAGGGCCCCTCGGCCTCAATTCCTTGGTTTTGAATCCGGCATCGAAGTGGGGTTGACGGGGATTTCCATGTCGCAGTTGCACTCACAACAGCCATGGAATCAGAGGAAACAGAGGGCTCAGATGCAGCTGAGTCCCTGATGGGGGTGCCACTCAGGGCGCCTATCTGGTGCGAAATTGACAACGCCATTTCTATATATAGACTCGCTAATCAAAGTTCCAGAGAAGAAGAACAGGAAATCTACTTCTACAAAATAGGAAACAGAACAATACTTATAAAAAAAAAAGAAGAAAAAAGCCTTCTCTTGAAGAAAAATCAAGCAAAGGCAAGGAGGCGGAGAAGTAGAAGAGGAAGAGATCTTCCTTCGAAGAAAATGGAACGAAAATGAAAATGAAGATGAAGATATGTACTTTCGAGGGAAATTGATTAAGAAAAATGTACAAAAGATACAAATTACAGGGGAAATTAAACAAAAAGTAAGAAAGGATAAAAGAAAACAGGGGAAAGAGAGAGAACCAACCAAAAAAATGAGGTGAACACTTTTTTACAGAAAAGCAATCCAAAAAGAGGAACAGAAGGCAAGAAGGAAGCCCTTCCAAGCCTTATAAAACCAGGAGAAGATGAAGGAAACGGAAGAAAAGATAAATGTCTTTTCTGGAGTCAGTGCAAGGGATGAAAGATTGCGGTGGCGGACTCCAATGAGATCGGGTTCTTTATATAGTCCCGCTCGCACAAAACGTTACATCCCACGTGTCAATGGACACGTGTCGGATGAACGTGTCGGATAAGAGACGTGCATTATTCCTGCGGCTGATATTCACTTATGTGAAAACGAACGGTCCGATTGTTACTGGCGAAGAACTTTCCAAATTCCTTGATATCCGCCTCCAGTGGCTAATGAGACTGCTGCACGTGGAGACGTCTCATGGTGAAGCCATGACACGTGTCTTACAGGGGACGGCGTGGGGACAGATTTGTAAGAGAGAGAGAGAAAGGGAGGGTGTGAGGCTTGGCAAATCTTGAACCGTCCGCGTCTCCATCGTTGATGCTCGAGTGTCTGAACGCTGCTTTAATTGTAAATAACAAGTGGAGTGGTTATTACGAGTGGATTTCCGTCTGGATGAACAATAACTTGGCCAGCAAGACTTTATAGGATACGCCAATGGTTTAAAAAACGGATCGGTGATCCGGATCGGGCTTCTAAAAAATCGATCTGGATCGGCGAATCGGCGATTCGGATCGGGAATCAGGTGAATCGGTCAGAATAAAACTTAAAAAAAATTCGAAAAAATTATTAAAATTCATTATAAATATTGTTTTTTAGGAATTCAATAAAAAATGAGGGTACTCCATTAAGAATTTTCATGTTTTTGAATGAATATGCGAATATTGATATGTTCTTTCCATGCATGAACCGCCATTCAGCATTTAATTTACAGTATTTCGTGCTCATCCCTACACTGTTGCTGTTGGGACTCGATATGTGAATAATATGGCTGGGATAGGGTGGCCTCAGAATCATCATCTCTCTCATTTTCTCTTTGAATAATATGGATTAAAAAAAAAAAAACAAATTTTCAAAAAAATCGATCATGGATTAAAAAAAAAATCACGAATTTT